CTTCAGACTGGGGCAAGACTGGTGAAGTCTCAGGAGTCATGTCCAGGCCTTCAAATACATAAAGGCTGAAAAAGACCTTCTTTTCCCATGTCTCCTTTTTTGAGGAAGAGTTAAATCTTTCTCAGAAATAACATAGCTGACGCTTCCTTACAGCCCATTGTCTAGCATTAGGTTTCAAGCCCATGACAGAGACCTCGAGTTATTTCTGAATATCCATTCTCTCTGCTTTCTTTAATAATATTGTTCTGATTTTATCTGGACATGTGGCTAGCCAGTTAAAAGACTATATTTCCTTGCTTCCCTGGCATCTATATTCAGCCATATGACTAAGTTCTAGTCAATTGAATGTAAGTAAAAATGTTATGTAGAACTTTTGGGAAGTATCCTTAAAAGGGAGGCAGCATCCTCTTTTATTGCTCTTCCATTCTGATTTCTGGAAAGCAATCAAAATGGTTGAAGATTTCACGGTCATCTTGGACGCTCAAAGAGCTGGTGGAACAAGGGAAAAGCTTGTGTGTTCAGTTCACTTTTAATTTGGGTTTTCATTAACCTCTGGTGAACTTAATCCTGACCGATACACATGCCCATTCCTAAATCAGTCATTGGCCAGAGGAAATGTTCCCACCTGACTGGGGGCAAATGGATTTGGGTGAGGCAAATAATCACATTAAATATTTATTTACTTAAATACATATTAAATATTTATATTAAAAACAAATTACTATGGGGGGCCTGGGCGTCGCAGTCAATTAAGCGTCCGACTCTTGGTTTCGGCTCAGGTCGAGAGCTCGAGGTCGTGGGATCGAGCCCCGCGTCAGGCTCTGGGCTCTGTGGCTTCTGCTTCAGATTCTCTCTCCCTCTCCCTCCCACTCACTCTCTCTCTTTCTCAAATAAATAACTATAATCTTTAAAAAAAATAAAATAAAAATAAATTACAATAGGGAGGCAGTCTTCTGAATATCTACATATGACGCCACCGTATTGTAAGCGCTGTAGTATCTTAGTTTCAAACTTAAATGATTATTTCCTGTGAAGTGCAGAGTAACCTTACTTCCATTTAGATTCTAATGGGTATTCTGGTAACTTCTATTAATTTTTATGAAAAAATTCTCAGCTGTGCTGTCAAAGGATTGAGGAAACCTCAAACCTCAAAATGCAAGGTTTGGTTTTTTAGTTGATAAACTTTTACTTAATTTTAACACATATGAGTTTATTAATGAAAACATTCTTTTAGGGATGCCTGGGTGGCTCAGTTGGCTAAGCATCTGCCTTTGGTTCAGTTCATGATCCCAGGGTCCTAGGATCGAGTCCCGCATTGGGCTCCTTGCACAGCAGGGAACCTGCTTCTCCCTCTACCTACCACTGTCTCTCTCTCAAGCAAAATAATTTAAAACAAAAAAGGAAATATTCTTTTAGCATGTTTACTATTCCACTGAATGTGAATTTCAAATCTAGCATCTTTAGTCCTTTCCTTAGATACCTTGCAGTTTTAGACTTTTAGGTTTGATTTGTTAAGTAGACCATTTTCTAATTCCTTCAACACCAAGTTGCATAGCAAGCTCTGGTCTTGGTTGGGAGAATGGAATAGAACTTTTCATTTTAACATCTCAAGAAACTATTTTCATTTACCAGTGATTCACAACCCACATTTCCCAATTCCTTTAGTTTCTTTCAACTCTAAAACTCAAGATGAAATTATAAAGAGCCTAAGCTATCACGAGGAGACCACATGATCTAAGCTCTGCGATTTCTCACTACGGTCCCAGAATTTTACCCCAGGGGTGGTGTAGTGTTTGGGAAACTAGAAATGCTCAGGCTGTAAGGTAAGAGTACTCTAATTTAGTTCACTGGACATATAATTAACACAACCACCAGTAGCAGAATACTTGTTCAGAGCCCAACTTTGTGCTTAACTAACTTTACTGCTTTAGACCAGACACTCGTATCACCTTTTCGAGCGTCAGTTCCCTCATCTATAAAATAAAGGCCTTGATTACAAGATCTTTGAGTCTCCAATTTGTGCTCTGCTAGGATGCCTGGGTGGCTCAGTTGGTTAAGTGTCTGGCTTTGGCTCAGGTCATGAGCCCAGGGTTCTGGGATCGAGTCCCTCATCGGGTTCCCTGCTCAGTGGGGAGTCTGCTTCTCCTTCTATCCCTACCCGGCTGCTTGTGATCTCTCTCTCAAACTCTCTCTTTCAAATAAATAAATAAAATCTTTAAAAATAAATAAAATAAAATCCCCAAGAAGCAGAAATATTTCTTCTCTACCCAAAAGCCAGTTCCTGGGCTTAATGATTCTGTGAGGCAGTTTTCTTTTCATGTTTCCAGCTTTATTGAGGTATAAATGGCAAATGAAATTATATATATTTAAAGTGTACGTGATTTGATAAACATTGTGAAATGATTACCACAATCAAGTTAACACAACCATCAGTGAAGCAGCTTTTTAAATAAAGAAGATATGACTGTCTCCAGTCCTGTCTTCTCTAGAATTCAAGGATAATCCACCAGCACTCTTCTTCTATTAACCCTTCACAAATTTTAAGCCGGTAAGTCACCATTCACCAGTCTTTTCCTTGGTGAATGATCAAAGCTCAGCCATTCATGTACTACCTTCATGGTTTGCTATCTTGGTTATTATGTTCTCTATGTTCTTTTTACTTAATTTTGAAGAGAATTTTTATTAATCACGGCTTGATGAGGACTATATATGAGGATTGTATCAGTCTTGCTTGGCAAAAATAGAAGTTAACTGTGGGGGAGAAAAGACCCAGAAACTTACTGATTTTTAAAATAGGCAAGTAAAGACTTCATGAATAAGGCAATGAGCCTCATTTGGTATGACACATTTCTTGTAGTAACTCCCCATGACTTCCTTCTTTTTGTGCACCAGCAATATTAGTAGCCTCATGAAACATTTCTGCTAAATCTTCATGCACTTTACAGGTGGGAGGATTTTCCGAGGTCTAGGGTAATGGAGTTCTACCTGAAATCATCCACTACCTCAATTGGAGAAACATGTCTCTAGGGCAAGATCAGTAGTTTCTTTTACCTTTATTTAGAATAGTTCTCAAATCCTAGCGAGCCTAAGAATCACCTGAGGCTCTGGCTAAAATGCTCCTTTTCTGGGCCTTGCCCAGGTCTAGACTAGAGCCTAGGAGTTTGCATTGTAAAACAACTTCCCAGATGATTGCAATGCAGGCAGTTTTCAGACCCTAACTTTGAGAAACATGTGATAAGGCTTTCTTTAGTCTAATACGTATTGACTCATTCTTCAATAACTTGAGCACTTTTCAGGTGCCCCTGGTAGGAGGCAAAGGGGCAAAGGGATGTGCCAAGACTCAAGATTCAGTATTCATGTCTCCAGGTAGCATATGACTGTCAGATGAAACATACTTACGATATCTCTCTAGGAGTTCAGGGTTGGGAAGGTTGAAGTGAGCCAGAGCTGTGGGAAGGCTGTGTGGATCCAGACTGGAAGGACCTGGTGATTCCCTCCCTCCCCCACCCTCACCCCCGAGGAAGGAGGGTGGAATCAGAGGGGTTCTGGAAGTTAGGTCAGTCTGGAGCTGAAGTTCCAGGTGCAAAGGCTGGAAAGGTCAGTTAAAGTGTAGGCACTTGGGCGCCTGGGTGGCTCAGATGGTTAAGCATCTGCCTTCGGCTCAGGTCATGATCCCAGGGTTCTGGGATCGAGTCCCGCATCGGGCTCCCTGCTCCTTGGGAGCCTGCTTCTCCCTCTGCTTCTCTCTCTCTCTCTCCCTCTGTCTCTCATGAATAAATAAAGAAAATCTTTAAAAAAAAAAAAAGTGTAGGCACTTTATCCTAGGGCGGTCAGCTGTTACTAAAGGTCTGCGTAGGGACGTGAGGATAGCTTTGGCTTGAGGGAGAGTAATAACCTGGGGTGGATGTTCAGGATGGATTGAATCTGGCAGTGCCAAAGGCACAACAATCATTAAACTTACGGAGGGTGCGTGCCTGGGAATGGAAAGAAAGCTGAGTGGTGAGATTAACAAAACGCTGGATTTATCTGTAGGGGTGGGGATGAGAAGGTACCCAAGATGGAAGGATGCGGACACTTTTTTTTTTTTAAAGATTATTTATTTATTTGAGAGAGCGAGAATGAGAGAGAGAGATCACATGAGAGGGGGGAAGGGTCAGAGGGAGAAGCAGACTCCCTGCTGAGCAGCAGGGAGCCCGATGCGGGACTCGATCCCGGGACTCCAGGATCATGACCTGAGCCGAAGGCAGTCGTTTAACCATCTGAGCCACCCAGGCGCCCCCGGACACTTTTAAAAAGATAGGCACAGCGGGAATCCTAAACAATTCAGCTTCGTAAAAGCCAGTTCGTAAAATCCTGAGCAATTTCCTTCGTAAAAAGGGAACCTCTTGAACAGGCAGAGGACCTGTTTGTGCCAAGATTGTTAACCCTTTCCAGTGTCTCCGTATCTCTCAAAATAGAACCATCTTCCCACGCTCGCTCCCTGCTGCTACCTAAACACTGCTAACGAAACATCATCTCCCTGAAGCTGGGTCCAACAGGCCCAAGATGCTGCAGGCTTCTGCCCCTGCGATGAACTGGAAACTTCTCAGGTCACCTAGCTAAAATACCTCTGTCTTGTCAAGTGGTTTCCAACTTTGCTGCACAGAGGAAGGACCCAAAGATTAAACAAAAAGAACAAAAGTAAGCCTAGCGCCCACATCTAACGTGCAGCATAGATTAGAAACCATTCGTTTAGCGACATCTCCACGGCCCCTTAAAAACAAATCTTTCCACTCGCCTGCCCTCCGCCGGAAGGACGCACGTGGAAGGTTCGGGGCCGGGTGGGCCGGGTCGCCGCGCCGCCGTCCCCTTCCCCCCAGCTAGCCTGGCGTGCCCAGCTCGCCGCAGGCCCGGAGGAGGCGGCGCTCCGGGCTCCCCGGGCCGGGCCGTAGCAGAACCGAAAGCGGCGGACGCGGGGAGGCGGGGGAGAGGAAGGAGGGGGCGGGCGCCGGGGGAGAAGGGCGAGGTGGCGCGCGGAGGGCCGGGAATGCCCGCGGCGCGGAGGCCGAGCCGCCCGGTGGCAGCGTCCGGGCAATGGCTCTCCGTCTGGTCTCCGACTTCGACCTCCGGAAGGACGTGCTCCCGTGGCTGCGGTCGCAGCGGGCGGCGTCAGCGGCCGCCGGGGCGCGAGGCGGCGGCCCAGGTGCTGGAGGCGCGCGTCCAGGGCCGGGGGGGGGGTTAGTTGGGAGCCGGCGAGGGGGTGGAGTCTGAGTCGTTCGTAGCTCGAGGGCTCCCAGGCCGGGCCGAGGTCGGGGGCATCGACCGCTCGCGGCCCCTGCCAACCTGTGACGGTTGGTGCGGAAGGGGTGAACTTCTCTCTCTCGAGTCCGGGCTTTGCCTCCCTCACCCCCGGCCACTGGGTGAAGGTCAGAGGGGCAGCTCGGGGCATGGTCGTGGCTGGACTGCACTGCTTCTTCTAGCGAGTCCCCCAGCTTCTGACTCACTTGTTGCCCAGTCGTTCACCTTTAACAGAAAGGCCAGGGACACTAGTGGTACCTCAGCATCGTCTCATCAGGGCAGGGCGTGGAGCAGCACCTGCCAAGACCGCGTTCCTCTGGCCCAACGCTGCAAGGAGTGGGACAGGAGCTTCTCTGTGTTTCGTTCCCATCTATCTCACCTGCCTGGGAGGGTTCATCACCCCTGTAGGGGCTCTGCCAAGACTGGGGCTCCTGAAAGTTGTTGCCACCAAAAAAAAAAAAAACCACCATAAAAAATACCTAACAGTTGCGCAGTTTGTCTTCACATTTGTGAGATGTTTCTGTGTGAATAGTGTTCACAGTGTTCATGACTTAGGGGACATGCCACTTAAGATGTGAAGTGCGAGAGGGCAGGGGTCTGCTTTCAGGCTGTGAGCAGTGAACCAGAGCCTACTGTTTTTCAAAGAGGCACCAAGCCCATCGCCACCAACCCAGACCATAGCACCACCTGTGCCTGCTAGCAGGACTGCGGTGTGAGACAGCGATGGTCAGGTTTGCTGTCCACCTTCCTCAGGGTCAATGAGAATACTTCCTTCACAGTTGAGGCTTTGCTTTTCATCTGTCTCAAAAATCCTTTGTTTTGGTTTTGATGAGGGAGAGAAAAGTGACTTTTGAGCCTTTCTAGCACTGATCAATCAAAACTTTAAAGAAGGGGAACTCGGTGATTTCTCACATTTTTTTTCTTTTTAAGAAGGTTACTGTAAATAATCCATCCTCAAGGCTTAAATTCAGCTTCAAAGCTATCATACGCTGGATCCCACCTTGTTCATAGGAGCTATTCACTTCAGTGTGTTTGCGCCCCCTCCCCCACCTCCGTGTTTTTCCTTAAACACTGTAGACTGCTGGAGGATGTTTTTTAGAAGGGTTATCCTCATATCTACAATTTCTTCCCCCTTAACTCTGATGAAAGTTGTCTCTCCCTACCTTATATCTTCACACGATCCTGTGGCTTTAGCAGAATTATTTGTAGGGTAACTTGTCTTGCCATGTTGGTTGTTAGTTCCAAATAAGGAGTCACGTTTGTATAGCTCAAGGCTTGAGTTTGCTGAGGTGTCATTATTAGTAAAGTTTTGCTTTTTTGCAAAAAAAATTAAAGTCTCCTAAAGAGATTTTGAAGGTTTCACTTTTTAAAATACAATGGGCAGCTTGATGCCTGCTTTCCACCACAGAGTAGGCCTTTCCCTGAGTCTTCACACCATAGAGCTAAATGGCAGGTGTCTGCAAATGAAAAGCTAGGTGAAGTGTGAAATGCCACAGTCTTATGTTTCAGTAATGTGTGTTGTGATTGAAAAGCTGTATGTGAACCAGCTAGGCCTTAGCTTCCTGTGCCTCTTTCACTCATCTGTGAAGAGACATAAACTTGTGTATTGACATTCCACTAAGTAACAGATGAACTTAGGTCCTCAGAAGGTAAACCTACTAGAAATACCAGCTTTTTCTAATATCGGTAGTATTCTGCTCTTGCAGAGCATCTTGGCAAGATCATTAGCCCCCTTATGCTAAGCGAATTGTTACTCCTGATCATCACCAGTGGGTGGTAGCTCAAAAAAACACAGTTAATTCCTCTTCTATAATTTGTAGCACTGGCAGGGGAATCTGGGATTCTATTTTATTTCTAGCATGGCTACTACTCCACACATTTGGCAAATTATTTTCCTTTCAAAGTCTCAGCTTTGCAAATATAAATTATAAGTAATTATGCCATTGTAATGTCTCCTCTCTGCACACTTGCTATCTAGATTTGAAGCCTTAATACTTTTACATCAACAAATACAATCGAAGATTTCTCAGTGGTGCTAAGTAATACTAAGTATGACATATTCCTGGCAAAATAGCCAGGGAGCTGGGCTAAGTTAGCCATGGAAATTTAGTGCCTGTGGGATAGTATTTTAGTCAACCAGGGGTTAAAGAGTAAGGAGACCAGATTTGGTTCCTACATATGCTTCTGGTTCTGGATTGAACTTTTGGAAAATAATCTCTCCTGAAATAAATGGAAAAAAGTATTTCTTTTAAAAACCAGAACAATTATACCAAAGAATATTTTAGCACATGTGTCCTATAAATAACAAAAAACTAAACCGCACACCCACCTTAAAAAGTAGAACAATGTCAGGGGCGCCTGGGTGGCTCAGTTGATCAAGCGTGTGACTCCTGATTTCAGCTCAGGTCATGATCTCAGGGTCGTGATAGCGAGCCTCACGTTGGGCTCCACACTCAGTGCCGAGTTCCCTTGAGTTTCTTTCCCTCTGCCCCCTCCCCACTCGTGCACACACATACTCTCTCACTTTCAAATAAGTAAATCTTAAAAAAAAAGAACAGTATCAAGACTTTTGAAGGCTCTTGTGTTTCCTGATCTATACTCTTTCTCTATCCCGTATCTCCTAGTGGTAAAAACCATTTAAACTTTGATCTTATTTGCAGTTTTAACCTATATGTATATCTCCCTATGCAACATGTCATTTCATTTCGCTTGTTTGTGAACTTTTTTTTTAAGATTTTATTTATTTATTTGACAGAGAGAGAGAGACACAGTGAGAGAGGGAACACAAGCAGGGGGAGTGGGAGAGGGAGAAGCAGGCTTCCCGTGGAGCAGGGAGCCCGATGCGGGGCTCGATCCCAGGACTCCGGGATCGTGACCTGAGCTGAAGGCAGATGCTTAACCAACTGAGCCACCCAGGTGCCCCTTGTTTGTGAACTTTAAATGAAAGAAAATTATATGTATTGCTTTTTGTTTTTGTTTTTTTCTTCTCAGTATCCATCATTGACTTTCACTGATGTATAGTATTCCATTGTGTGAATGTACGGCAGTATGGTGGACATGGAGATGTACCACTTAGATCTTCCTTTCAAGGAAGAGCTTGTCCCAAGTGTTGTGAGGGTGGTCAGTAGATAAGCTTCAGCTGTCAGCCCCTTCAGGGATTGCCTCCATGGAGGACTTCCTTGCCCAGTGTCAGGACCTTTTGAGTGTGGCCCACATTTAATTAGGGATTGAGGTGGGCTATCAAGGCCTGGCCATTTTGACTCAACACAGGACAACTTTGACAGTCCATTTTAGTATGAGAGCCTCTCCCCTGGGGAATTCCAAAGTTACCTGACATTGCTGCCGCTTGACTTCTCCCCCTTCGTGGTCCATACTTCCTTCCCCTCCCTCCGCCAGGTATTAATCCCACTTCACTGAACATTCCCTGGTAAATATCCTGGATACTAACCTGTCTCAGGGTGCTTCCTGACTTTACTTATCCTTTTTGGAGTGATGGCATTTGGGAAGTTTCTGGGGTTTGCTAGTATAGGTAATCCTTTTGCTCACTTTCTTGTGCATGATGGATGTCTAACTGGAGTTGCTGAGTCCTAGGCTTTGTACGTCTTCACTTTTCCTGGATAGTGCCAAATTGTTTTCCAAACCAGCTGTACTTATTAACAACCCCATTTGTGGTATAGAAATGTTTTTTTTGTACTCCGTATCCTCACAAGCTCTTGATATTTCCAGATGTTTAATTTTTTGTTGAACTGGTGAGTCTAAATGTTATTTCACTGTGGTCTGAGGTTTAGCATCTTTCTATATTTATCGACCTTTCAAGTTTCCCCTTCTATGAGATGTCTGTTCATCCTGTCCATTTTTCTATTGCGTTTTTTTCATATTGATTTTTAAGGGTTCTTTATTCTGGATTCTAATCCTTTGTCATATATGTTGCAGATATTTCCTCTCACACTGTTTTTTTCAGTTTGCAGTGGGGTTTTTAATTTTAATGTGGTCTAATTTATGAATCTTTCCCTTTTTGGTTTGTGCTTTTTTGGATATTTTAAAGAAATCCTTTCCTGTCTAGGAGTCACAAAGACATTTTTAAATTAACTCCTAAAAGTTTTGCCCTTTGCATTTAGTTTTTTTAATCCATCTGGAATTTATTTTTGTATGTGATATGAGGTAGGAATCGGGGACACAAGAGCCTTCAAAAGTCTTGATATTGTTCTGTTTTTAAGGTTGGTGGTGGGTAAATGCTTTTGCTTCATTGTTATGTATAAGCTTACATGTGTTAAAATATTCTTTTGTAAATTGTATTGGTTTTCTGTATTAATAGTTCTCATATCACTAACCAAATAGCCCTGCTTCCTCTCATTGACGGCAAAGCCACTTCCGTCACATATCAAGTTTCCACATATGTGTGGGTCTCCTTTCCTGGGTTCTCAATTTTGTTCCTTTTGTCAACTTAAGATGAAAACGTCTTAATAACTGTCTTTATGAAAGTCTTAAAATCTGGTGGAGTAAGCCTCCTCACCTTAGTCTTCAGGACCATCTCGGCTTATCCTATGCCCCTTGGTCTCTCATGTGTATATATTTTGGAATCCGCCTATCAGATTTCACCAAAAAGTCGGTTGGAATTTTGAGTTGCATTGAAGCTATACATCAGCTTTGGGAGAATTGGCATCTTTACAATATTAAATCTTACAACTATGAACCAAGTGTAATTTACTATTTAGTTAGATCCTCTTTATGACTCTTAGTAAGTCTTAGAATTTCTTCCATAAACGTCCTGCACACTTTTTGCTAGCTTTATTTCTAGGTTGTTGTTATTTCATGTTGCTTCCATAAATGGCGCACTTAAAAACATGACCTGTTCTGGCTGTTATTGGCACATAGCAATACAATAGATTTTTATGTATTAATTTT